GCTTCCTCCACACGTGTGCATAACGCAGAAGTGACTGTTAGTGAAAGAGAAGAAGCTGAGAGCAGTGCCAGAGCTGGTGCATGGGAGATGTGGAGGAAGTGGTCTGTGCTGAGCAGCAATTTTGTTTTCCCTGATACTCAGCGGCTGAGTACCCTGAGCCGGCTTAATGCTCTTCGCTGAGCGTGGTATTGCTGGATGTGAATGGGAGACCTCCCCTGATCACAGACTGACTGAAGACAGGCAGAAAAGAAACCAGAGTTAGACCGGCTGCCGAGGGAAGGGCTACATGGATCCAATTTTCAAACTTGGATGGCAGCTGAGTCCATATTTAAACCCCTAATTAGCCACTGCAGGCTCCTGCAGAAAAGAACAGAAAAGAGAAAAGGAAAGGAAAGGAAAGGAAAGGAAAGGAAAGGAAAGGAAAGGAAAGGAAAGGAAAGGAAAGGAAAGGAAAGGAAAGGAAAGGAAAGGAAAAGAAAAGAAAAGAAAAGAAAAGAAAAGAAAAGAAAAGAAAAGAAAAGAAAAGAAAAGAAAAGAAAAGAAAAGAAAAGAAAAGAAAAGAAAAGAAAAAAATCAAAAAGAAAAGAAAAGAAAAGAAAAGAAAAAAATCAGCAAACCACAAGACACTCACTCACTCCAGAATTAAATACTTTCTTATTTTGTTTTGGCAAAAATACAAACCAATCCCTTTCTCTTCTCCTCCCTAGTTTCTGTAATGACAATTCAAACTTGTCAGTCTACGTTGTAAAAAATCTTAAGCCAAAAATCAGAATTTCTGCTCAAAATTAATTGAACAGAAATGCATAGCCTGCCTTATCTTGATCCCTTATTCATCAGTATAGAATCAATAAAATGTTATTTGAAAAGGAAGGTTTCGTATATTGCTGCTCTCTTAGCCAGATTTCAAAGCAGCTAAATAAATCCTCTCTGCCTTAACTGTTCCCATAGTTTCCATTTAGTGAATAGTGCATTGCCCTATTTTATCAGCACCGACTTGACAAAATGCTCTAGGTGGGCGTCCCCCAGGGTAGACAATTTTCCATGGTAGGAAGCGTGGTCCACAGAGAGCCCCACTCAAAAGAGCGGATGGGCATGAACTCCTCCAAGCTACCGACGCCAGGCATGCCACTCCTTCCCACTGGACTTCTTCCCACCAAGTCCTTGCTCGGCTTTTCCCAGCTGCTGACCATGCACAGGCTTGCCATACCACAGCATGTGCTGTCTGGCGTAGCTCAAGCCTGGTGGGCAGTATTTACTAGGACTTGATTCCCGGGCAGTCAAGCACCAGTACCTCCTAGCTCTCTAGCCAACTGGCCAGCGTGCGTATATACCGCAAGGAGCTGGGAGCTTCCAGTTTTCTGCCTGGCTGGCCACCGAATTAGGAGGTAGAGTTTCTCTGCTTGAGTCCACCTGTCTTGCTGTGAGGCATTGATAGCCTGTGTCCTCAGGGGTCCAAGTGTTACAGGCACCTCGTGTGCACTGGTTTGCTGGCACAGACTGCTGGGAGGCTGTGTTCTGCTTTGGGCTGCTTGGCCTCTTGTATGCACTTCCATTTCAGAAAGCTTTTAAAGCCCACAGAAAATGAAAGCAATGTGGAAATGCGTAATGTCAATATTATTATTTTCTTCAGTATACAATTATAGTTTCATTCTGTGTAGAAAATGTACATACAGAGCATAGAGCACCAAGACAAACTAGATTTAGATGCATAGGCTTTAAAGCCGTATTAATTCCATGTGTAAGAGGTATATATTTTATGGTTTTAAACTGAAAGAGGGTAGACATATTGGACATAAGGAAGAAATTCTTTATGAGGGTTGTGAGCCACTGGGACAGATTGCCCAGAGAAGTTGTGGATGCCCCATCCCTGGAAGTGTTCCAAGTCCAGGTTGGATGAGGCTTTGAGCAACGTGATGTAGTGGAGGGTGTCCCTGCCCATGGCAAGGAGGTTGGCACTAGAAGATCTTTGAGGTCTCTTCCAATCTGAACCATTCTGTGATTCCACATGTATGTGCATGAGAGACGCAATCATGGTACAGGCACAGGAGCCCACATGTTCCTATTTTTCTGATACATAAAGTCAAGACTGGATGTAATGAAATCAAGTAACCAGTGTTGATTTTTTTTCCCAACATGATTGTAGTAAGATGGGGTCTCACCAAAAAAAATAGTTGTTCAGCGAAAATCTTTGTCAGTTCTGTGTCACAGGTTATTCCTCTGCCTCATGTAGTCCATTGATGTCAGATTCCTGGAAAGCAAAAACACACACAGAGAAAATGTGAAGAGAGCAGGTTATCATTGCAGGGGTTCTGCCAAAAGCATCAGCTTTGTGTATCCAATTTTATATCCTTCATATCTATAGTATATCATTGAAGTGGGATTCCCTACTGCCTTGCAAATCATTTGCATCTCTGCACTGTGATATAAAAGGCTCCCTCGCGGATTGGGTAGCTTTTTATATCTTCTCAGCACTCGTGTTTCTCTGACATAGATATCTATGCAAAGTACAAGGCTTTTGAGGATCCGGCCCTTGTAGTTCATGCTTCATTGCCACAAGGTAAGTCAAAACAGCACTCACACAAAATGTGGGAATGAGAAGTCATGGGGAGTGTTCACCTTCCTCCTGCCTGGCATCTGAAGGTTATTGAGGGCCAGACGAGACCCAGGCAGAACGAGTCAGAGTAGTCCCTAGCTCTGCTTGCTTGCGAGCCGCTTGCCAGACAAGATCACTCTAATTCAATTCAGGACGTGCGTCCCGTGCCCCAGCTTGTGTTCTCCACCGGTGGGGGAACGGTGGCACGAATGGAGAAGTGCCAGGGTCGGCTGCCAGCTGGCTGCCGGAGGCAGCTTCAGATGAGCGCATCTTCCCATGGGTGGCATGAGCTCTGTCCCGCATGGCTGCGTGAGGGAAGCTCGCAGCGGCTGAGGATCTGGTCCTTCAAGTTAAAAGGGTTGAAATATGCATGAAGCATAAGGTGACATTTTGAGTGTCTCAGATCAGAGCCCGGACGTTACTGAATTTAAAATGTAACTGCAATTTCCTGACTAATGCCAAGTCACTTTTATATTCATGTAGTGATTGTTCTTTATTCTTAAAATAACCCATTTTACCCTGGGGTGCAGGTGATACCTTTATGATGATGGAGCTACATTATCCAGGATGTTACAGCTCAGGCCATTGATGGTGCAAGGGCTATTTATGATCAGCTGTCCTTTTTTATTCTCTCTCAATTTCTGTAAAGCTTTTGTAGCCTGTTTGTTTGTGATTTGCTTGAACAAGAATAGATCAGGGAAAAAAGGAACGAAAAAAAAAAGAGATGCACTGGAGAGTCAGAGCTGTTGTCTTTTACTTCCTGTGGCTGAGCTGTACGATTTACTATTGTGTCTCCAAGTTTCTGAGTCCATTCAGATCTTGAACAGTTAAGTTGCTGCAGTAGCCTGGTACCTCTGCAGAGAGTCAGCCTATTTGCCAGCAGCCAGGGCTTTCTATAGTGAAGTGTACAGGATATTATAAATAAGATAATCAATGAGAATGAGGTAACAAAAAGAAGTCTGAGACATATTTACTGTTCAATTTTTATTGAAAATAAAAACCTTGCACTTAGTAGCAACCAGTGGAAACCAAAGGCTGGCTTTTCAACAGAGTAGGAGCATCCCCAGCCCCGGCATTTGCTGCACTAAGGGTGAAGGTGTAGAGGATGGAGACGTAGCTGCAGCTGTCGCAGAGGAAGGACAACAACTAGAGGGAAGGAGAGAGCTGGGAAAGAGGGATCTGCTTCTGGATGGGTACTCCTCTATCACCCTCCACCAGCTGTAGCTGCTGCCCCACAGACCCTAAACCCTGGCTCCACATCGGCTGGAGCAACAAGCAGCGTCGCTCACCCGGGCTCTGGCAGAGGCAAAGGGGATGGGGACCAAAGCTGGTTTGCTGTCCCCAGGAGCCCGTTGCTTTAGGCTCCCACCTGCTTTGCCTATGAGTTGTTTGTGATGCCAGGAATTACCTTTGGTTCTGCTAAGCACAAAAAAAGGTTAGACGAGAGGCTGTAGTAATTACAAGAGTGAATTGTCATGGCATAGGCATTTGTGGAAGTGATGCTGAGGTCCCAGTTGGGAGGAGAATTTTAAGTGACATACCTGCTAATTTGCCTGGAACTTGCCTGCTTAATAAAATAAATAAATAAATACTGCTGCTTGCATGCAGTGAAACCCAACTAATCAGCAGTTCCTTGAAAGTTTGACTTGAAAGAAAGGCAGATTCAGCGTCCAGATGAGAGAGAAGAAGTCTCAACAGGTCATGTTTTGCCATAGCTGCCAGTATTTGTGTGCCTTCTTTGCGCCTCCTGTTTGGCACAGTCCCGGCCAGCTGTCTTTGCTCTAAAGGCTGTATACGGCATAACTGTGGTTACACTTGCAGCCGCCCGCTCTCCTTGCCCCATCTTTTTATCCATCTCTTTAGCTGTGCGTAATCTGATGTGTCACTGGGGCAGGTGCAATGATTGCCTTACTCATCTGTACTGTGCCCAACACGGGAGCCTTCGCTGGAAACTAGTAGGTCCTGCTGCAATACAAACAACAATAACCAGGAGCAGCATGATCAGGCACAGATTTACTGGGTGGGAATGGGGTATGTATTTACAGGAAGAGGGCAGTGAGGAAGCGGAGAGTAATTCAGGGGCCTCTAGGTGATGATATCCTGGAGATTGGTGCCTCAGCATTTCTAGTTTAAATAGTTGGACACAGAGATTCTGGCAGGTACCGTGTAATTTTATTTTATTTTTTCTCCCCACCATAAATCAGACCTGCTGTCTGACGAAATAATCACCAGAACTCCAGCAAACAACACACCTGCCAGTGATAAGCTGTTCCTTCTGATGACTCAATGTATAGCTGTTTGTTTGCTGGACATTGCAACATGCAGTACATTTGAAGTATATGCAATTTTGTTTTTATTCTGATTGTTTTTATGTGCATCTCCCTCTCTCTTTCTCTCCTGTGTACAGATATTCGTATTCACCCCATGGAGCCTATGCCCAAAGCAAACTTGCCCTTGTGTTATTTACCTATCGACTACAGCATCTTCTGACTGCAAATGGAAGCCATGTGACTGCTAATGTAGTAGACCCCGGAGTAGTGAATACTGAGCTCTACAAGCATGTCTTCTGGGTTGTAAAAGTGGTCAAATGGATGACAGCCTGGCTATTTTTCAAGGTATGCAGTTTTTTAAATCATTTTGTTGCTGTGCCCCTACATTGTGAGAGCTGAAGTAAGTGTGGAGCTGAAGGTGTTTCAGAGTTTATCATAATGTGTGGTATTTATTGCATTTCTCTGTGCCGGTGAGATGTACAAAATTGATAAAGACAGGCCTTCCCCAGAACAAACACATTTTTTAAATGAAGGGAGCAAGCTCTCACAGTAAGGAAAGGGAATGCCTTTCACCAGCTGTGTCCATGTGCCAGTTATCTCTGCCCTGATCTATCCGTGTGCCTTTGTGCATGCATGGGGGCAGAACATCATCCTAACAGAGCCAGAATTTGCCAAGTGTTCCTTGGAAATGTCTTGTACGTGCTTTTAATGAGAAGCAGACATGATCTGGCACGGTTGACATGTACGCAACACGTTATAGAGAGGAGGGCAAAGGGAAGAAGGAAGCTGTACAGAAACGGTGGTGGGAAGTGGCTATACTCCAGGCTGTGCAGGTCCAGACGGGGAGGTGGGACAATTTTCATTTAGCTTTTTCATCCTAACACATACTTGTAGTGGTACCTGATTCACTGTTATCTTTTCCTGGTCTGCACTAGGAAACTTAAAGCTGTTTGATAAAACCAGTCCAGAAGTGGGGCAGACCCAGTTACGGTTAACTTCAATAACATTTTGTAGTGGTGTAAGTAGATCAATTTGAAATCAGTTGAGCTGCACCTGTGCAGTCTCCTCATGTGGACAAGCCTTAAGAGGACTGGTGCTGAGAAAATGTTCTGCTTATAACTCTTTCAGAAAGTAGTTTTGGATTAAGTGAATGGAATCTGATTCCATTAGGGAAAATTAAATGTCCTAATTAAAATGAAGTATTTTAGATCAAGGGCCATGTCCCACAAAGCAAGTTAATTTTTAACTTTGATATGGAAATATCACTAGCTTTAATTTTAGGAATGAAACTGGAGGCTGGAAGAGTGGCTGTAAAATAAGATGCAAACAAATAAACCCGTATTTAAAAAAATTAATAGTATCTTCTGGGTACACCTTGAATATTGCAATAAAATTGTAATAGGAATGCTCATAATATGTAATGCATTCTTAAAGAAGCAGAATGCAGCTTTGCCAGACCGAATATATTAAACTTGTTTTGCCTCTTGTGATTGCCGTTTTAAATATCAGTCTCCAGTGATGGTGTCTTTTCATTGGACCTACTTCACCTTGCTAACATAACAGTTTAATGCAGATGTTTAGGTTGTGCTCAGTGTTCCCTCTAGAGCCATAAAATTCGGGCAAAATTTCCATGTCTGAGAGTGAGAATTGAGTCTCTTGTTTACAGTGCTCAGTCCCATTCAGTTTTATTGGGGTGCCCAGGGAGACATTTTTGTATTATACTGGCCGTGTTTAGACACTGAATGAGATGCCACTGGACACACGTAAAGTGAGTTTGGGTTTATCACAAGAGGGAGTCTCATACTTACAGCTCTAAAGGTAATGCCACTGATAGTTCCTGATCGCTTCTTATTCTTTGGGTGAGATACTGCTCTGAAGGAATTCTGCCTTGCAGTGAGTGACGGGCAGACGTACTGACTTGCGTGGAAGTGCGATGTGTGCGCTGCCTGAAAAGCAAATGCATCAATTGCTTTTTGAGTCAGAATAACTTCAGGTTTGGATAACTGAATGCTTCAGTTATCGAGGTTGAGATTTTCACCTTTTTATATAACACTCGGATGTGTTTTTTCTGTAAGCCAAAGGAGAAGGAAGCTCTTACTGTCGCTCTTCCTGTCCTCCTTCAGACTTCTGAGTTACAGCTCCAACTTCTACTCTTTGCTTATTGCTTAGGATATGTTTTATATTCGGGTTTGATTTTGCCTTCCTTTCTCACGTTCAGGAGCACGTAGGTACGCCCTGTTCAGCTCCGGCAGAACTGCACCGCAAGGCAATCTTTAGCTCCACGGCAGCTCGCGTTGAAGCCTGCCTGGTGATTTCAGTAGCAGTGTACCGAGTGACATAGCATCCAGCATTCAAGCCCCAGTGGTTCTTGTGTTGGTCTTGTGCGTTAGGGTAAATTTCCCCTGAGAAAAGTAAAAAAGCAAGTACAAGAAAATTCAATTGTCTGATAATATAGGTAGATGGTATTATGGATTTCTTCTCCCTTGGAATTTCGTTTCCAAGTGCGCATATATGAATCTTCCTCCTAGGATTATGGAGGTAATGCAGTGAAAATAAGGTGATAACTCTCTAATCATATTGGCTCAACTAACTTTTATCACTCTGAATTGTTCTGGAGTGATTTCTAAACGCATACAGGAAATTCCTTCACCCACTGCAAGCCAGCACTCGTGAAAGCCGCCACAGCCCAGATAGCTCTGTTGAGGGAATGCATCACGGATTTATCACATCACGTTCCCTCAGGAGAGAGTCAACATGTTGTTTGATTTAATTCCAAAATATTGTGGCAGAGCCTCCGCTGCCTTTAAATGAGTTTCCGCCAGCACTGGTCCCAGTTGCGTTCAAGTCAAATACTTCCCAGGGCTTGCAGCTTGGCCCTCACTCTCTCTGGGCTGCTGCTGTTTGAGGTGGCTCAGTGTGGCAGGCAAGGCTGTCGGCTCAACATCCGCCTCAGAGCAGCCTCAAGATATTTTGATACTTAAGCAAATAAACCTACAGTCTTGTAAATAGGCCATGATACGCACATATAATTTACTCAAAGTATTAACAGCTTGAGTTTCTCAGAACTGAAACATTGTCTTCTGGTCTTCATACATGGCTCGGTAAAAGTCTCTGCCAAATCAGTTTGTTGTTTTTTCCCCGACAAGCTGCCATGAAAGGCACCCCTGTAGAAATAAGATAGGCCAAGCTAAACAAATGCCTGCCTTTTAGAAGTGATGGTTTCATTCTTTCTCAGCTCAATTCTTTCTCAGGAAAGTTATTGTCTGTTGTGATACTTGTTCTTTAAATTTCCGTTTTGCAAATGTTTTCTATACAATTTAAATAAACAGAGATTGCACCTATCACACGCAAGAGAGAAATTATGTTTATTCCTCAAAAAAAAATTAACTTCTACCCCTATGACTTCTCAGTAAATAAAAGCTGACGAGCTGTCACAGTCCTCTGCAGAGTGCAATGAAATATGACATCCCTTAGGAATGTTTAACATAAAGTGATCTTCTTTTTGAAGAGATAAAGTCCAAACCAGTAAATAATAACTAATTAATAAGATGATAATAGCCTAACAAGACATTAGCCAGATGTCAAATTGCAATTTAGCCAACTGTGCAACACACCAGTTTTAGTGATGGGTACTGCCCAAGCTGGAAGCTGAGAAGGTACCATTTCCCTCTCAAGTATTTCTGCTTCTGCTACAGATATTGAATATTCATTCTTAAGGCAGATGGCCTATGCTTGTGATACAATTAAAATGCCTTAAAGCAAAAAAAAATATTGACTCTCATTAATGTCCAATGGCAGGGACTGTTCTGCTTCATATGACTTCATTATGCCGCTGAAGTAGGGACGTTTCTCACATATCGGTGCTGTAAACTTCCTCCAAACCTTCTTTATGACAAGCTGGGTATAAATGTGTCATTATCAGATATAGACTGCTTGGTCCCCGCAGCTGCCTCAGATCGGTATTTAGGAAGGCATTGTAGAAGGAAGACTGCGCATCAGATCTTGTCTCAGCTGTCGTTCCCAAAGACGTAGTGCCATGGAAGTGATTATTGACTGACAAACTGAAAGCGAGTAGGATTAGTGACCTCGCCAGCCTGCAAAAGAGAAGGGAAAGGCTTCAGGAACACAGACTAGAAATCAGTCAATATGAACCAGTTCATATCTTTCATCTGTCAAAATGGGCTTAACTTTAGTGTAATTTTCCTATAACATTTTAAAAGAAATGCTTCCAGTCTATAAGTGCTCCTAGAAAACAAGATCTAAAGAATCTGGATTCATCGTTCATGCCAGAGGACATAGTCATGCAGGTCTTATTGCAGCATTTCTTATTCAAACTGTCCCTTTGGCACTGTGAATGTGGAAAATTCATTTCATCCTTCCCCCACCGAGGTGTCAGAAGACACATCACCACACAATAACGCCAGCTGTACAGAACGAGAATAATTAAATTCTACAGCTGAAAGAAGCAATTCATCAGCATCAACATCTTCAGTCCATGTGAATGTGTGGTCCTCACGTCGAGCTAGTCTGGAATTTTCTCACAAAATGAAAACTCCTTGCAGAAACATGTCATTTGCAGTTAATTATTTGAAAAGACTTTTCAGATCAGGAGTGGAATTCTGGTCAAAATCAGAGAGAAGGAAACAATCTACTTTATCCCAGTAACTGTGATCCTTAAAAAGATCCCATTTTTGTACACTTTGATACAGGGATTTAAGCTTCAGAGCCATGGGGCTTTTTTTTTTTTCCCATCTAATAAGTATTTGCTTATTCATACAGCCATAGGACGATTCTAGGGGGAAAGATAGAGGGACCTACCTGGGAAGGATAATGATCAATTCACCTTTGAGCTACCAAATCCTGGTGGTCTGGGTATTTTTCTTGGATGTGAATCCCTGGACTTGGGTAAGCCCCCAGGTCCTGCCTGTTATGGGATACGTGGATGCAGCTTGGCTACTTTACTTATTCTAACTGCTAAATAAGAAGGTTTTGGAGCATGGAGTGTTTTGTGTCTGCCCTAGTTAGGATTAGATCCCTCTAAAGGAGGCTGACTTGAAATGCACACTTACATAGCATTGGACCCTGGTCTACACTGAACCCGTCGTTCCCCTGCGGTCCCAAGACATCATTCTTTTCTGTGTGTTTCTCAGGTCAAAGTAACCAAAACGTTTATTATAAGGGACACATTGAGAGTTGCTGGAGAGTATTTTGATGGCAGGATTTCTGTTGCGTGCCTTCGTGTACGGCACGCAAAGGGGTAAGGATGCTGTGTGGGAAAGCACAAAATGGGTGGGATTGTGTTGCAGTGCATCAGAGGGAAGTTCTTGTTTATAACTCTTATTTGG